ACAGTCGATATGGATTCCACGAGGACGAAGCGAGAACGATGAGTACAATAAATCTGAGCGCGGGACAAGTACAGCCAGAGTCGTGAGGTACGGTCAAGCGCCAGAATCAATAGAGCGAAAGAAGACTAACCCAACATCTTCCTTCCTTATACTAAATAATAATTACAATCAGCAATGGTAATGAATAATAATAACTAATAACAATTAATAATAAATTAGTCATTTGTTTGCGTATGTCACGCTAAATTATACAAATAATTGATAAATATTGTTACCACGTGTAGTATGTTTATGGTACACTTTAAATCGGTAAAAAACTATTAGTAATGGTTTGCACTTGAAATTGAAATTTAGAGCATAACCAATTAAGTATTTTTAACATTCAATATTACAAGTTCTTTCCAACTCAAACCAAGAAACCCTTTAAAAAAACGGAGTTCTGATAAGACTTGTATCATTGATATGCTCATGTCATATAATAATACAGAATCCGAATCAAAAACTTTAAGCTACTAATAGATTACATTTATACTGTCTTTTTAATAGGAACATTATTCATTTTACCAACTGCCGGTTACCTTTGTACACGCAGAGATATAATGAAAGGCTGGCCTGCAATATTTTATTTGAGTGGCCTTATCTCAATATTAGTTGCCTTATTCTGGATACCAATGGGTGCTGACAAGCCTTCAAAGCAGTATTGTATATCTCGAAAGGAACAACTTTTCATTGAGAACAGGTTATTTTTTCCAGCACTTTTTCTTAGTAATGAAAAAAGACTTCTGAATTGCTAAGGGGCGCTTAACTTTGCTTAGAGATGAAGTATGTGGACTTGGACTTGCGCATTAGTCATATGCTACTTTTCTGTTTTCTTTTTGATTGAAATAAATCGCTTTTCGTGACATTAATCTTTCTATTATTTTTGATAGACTTCTTATTAGTGAATAATGAAATGCTCCATAGCTTCAATAATATACACAGACTCTTTTTTTTTTTAATATTTTGTAAAGTAGCATTCTGGCTATTCAAATGAAAAGACCATTATCAATCATAAAATTGGCCTTCATGGTTTCATATTATTGAAAAGAGGTTGTGTAATCTCAGCAGTTGCAGTTAACAATGTGAAAAACAATTTTGACACAGAAAGCTGGGTACAAGATTAAAGTAGATTAAATAATTTCTAGCTAGCCTTAATAATATTTGCAGAATAGCTTGTGAATCTATTGGCAAGCGCACTGCTCCAAGGCATACTCCTTGGTCTGCAATAATCAGGTCATCACCACTATGGGCTGGAGTATTTGCTCTTGTCTGTCATGAGTACCCGCTTGTAATAATGTTACAGTTTTTACCCAACTATATGCGTGATGTATTACACTTTTCACCAGCTAAAAATGGAATCGTTTCTGCTATACCTATTGCTTGCTTATTTTTAAGCAAAACTTTCTCCTCAAGCTTTTCAACGTGGCTCATAAAACATTCTGATTGGAGTAAAACTAACATTTGTAAGGTAAGGTATATTATCAAATATCTCAGATTGTCTCTCTACTTTTTCCCCTTAGACTTCTATAGCTATTTTTTGTTCATTTTCAGTCCAAGAATAATAAAATTGCCATAAAACTTTACTATATTTAAATTTTTACTTTACGAAGTTGCCGAATTATTGTCTTCCTCTATGAGAGCAGAAAAAATGAAGACCGCAAGAAGTGTATGACTAAAAATTTCCAGATGTTCAACGGTATTGCATCTGCAGGTTTGTCCGTATGTGTTTTTACAGTACCGCAGTTTGACCGCGAACGGTCATTTCTAGCAACTGTTGCATTATGCGGAGCAATGCTTTTCGCAGGTAAATATTTCACTAATTCTTTAATTCAAAGTGAATGAAACCTTCTTTATGTATCAGTATATTTCATCGCTTTCTCAAATATTAATATTAAAAATAAACAGTGGCAAATTATTTGATGTAAACTTCTGCTTCTGAATGTGTTGAAAAAGGCTAACATTATAATTGCACACGTTTCTAACTTCACAAGTGGTCTCTAGCAGCTGTAATTTTTATAAGTTTGAAAAGCTGATCTCTTGATTGTTATGGACATTTTTTCATGTGAATTTGTTACTAATTGTAATTTCCGGTGAACTAGAAATTTATCAAGTTATTTGATTTTTTTATTATTTCATTGCAAATTTCAGTAAGTGTCACTAATTATTGATTTGAGCTTAGCATAAACTTCTTGAGAATCAAGTTTGAATAACTAGTTTTTCCAACTACAAAAACGCCTGATTCAAAAATACTTATAAACTGTTATTATTTACTGAGTTCTTTATAGTGTAAGTGCAGTAAAATCCACTAAATTCAACACTTATCTATTCACCTAATTCGATTTCTGGCTTTGCCGAAGTATAAATTAGTGTTTTTGGTTTTTGAAATACATAGATTGATGCACGCTGATGAACACCTGAAACTGGAACTGTTGGATGATTTCTAAATTATGCTTGTTTGCAACAAATTAATTGACAAAGGAAGATGAAGTCTTGCAGGTTTACATACGCCAGGAGTACAAACAGCTTTGGTACAGCTTGCGCCACCCTATTCAGGCGTCATCACTGGTATATCGTTTTTTGTTGTTGCATGGTTCGGTATTGGGAATAAACTTCTCACGAAATTTATCGTACAGCAAGGCACATCAGCGGAATGGGCAAAGGTTCACTTCACTTATTCACAAATGAAACTGTAATAAAAATTCAATCGTAAACATAGAAAGTTACATTAATTTTTTGCAAATGAAATCCAGAAATCATTTTTTCCAGTTTCAGGTGTTTTATGTATCAGGTACAGTAGCAGCGCTACCTGTGATAATCTTTACAATTTGGGGGTCTAGCGACCGACAATGGTGGTCAGCTCCAAGTTCAAAAGCTTCAGTACACAGTTTGAATACACAAACCACTTCAAGTTCTAACTGTGGTTAGCAACTGGAAGAAAAACAAAAACAAGTAGGAGTAAAAATGTGCAGATGGCCAATGCTGAGCGTATCATTGATTAAATGATAAAGAAAGGATAAATTTTTGGGTGATCAGTACAATGATTTGTTTTCTGTCAACCGTATTCTCTATAAAAAAAATAATTGTAATGATGACTACATCATTTTATTTATGGATTAAGTTGTTGTAATCAAAAAATATAAATTCATTACCAAACAAACACTAGGGGAAAACTTGCAGAGAAAAAAGTTACAACTCAGTTTGGTTAATAAACATCACATGTGGCAAGTTTTCAAAGCTTTTCTGATACGAACCTGAAAATAATCAAAAAATTTTGTTTTTAATCTATATGAGTTGTTTACGACAAACACAAAAAAATTCCCAAAAAACAGACTAATGCATCAAAATCTTGTAAACAAATTGAGCATTTCACTATTACTAGTGAAACAACACTGAATGTTCAGAGTTAAGAGATAACAGATAAAACAGTTTGAACAAGAAATATAAGCAAAACGAGATATGTAAGTAAACTGAATGCAGCTATATAGTGGACAGCATGGGCCATCAATGAGATATGATTTAATCTGACTCTGAGTATGTTTGTAAGTAAGCAATATTTTTCTCAGCCTTCAGCTACTCCATGACAACCAGTTTTTATCAGTGCCAACAAACAAATGCAGACGCTCCGACTAACTTGTTTACAGTTTACATTTATTCATTGTCAATACGTCATTGAAGAGGAGGCAAGTTTAGTTGTTGCTGATGATAATGATTCAGAGAGCAGTCAATCTACCATCTTATCATCATAGTTATAATTCGTTTACATCTTTAAATTTGTTCTCTTTTACATGATGAGATTTATGAAGAACCACACCACATAGCTAAACTTTTTGTTTATCATTTCTACTTCATGCCAATAGGTGCAACTCTGATATGCACGTGTACATTAACATGTGCTTTTTTCGCTCTTTTCTCTATCTATATGCAAATGATGTTGATGCAGAGCATGATTTTATATTTACTGTTTTGAAAATTTAAAGTTACATGGTAATTTGATGCTTACGAAGCGGTGCAAAGCAGTTAACTCATAGATTCATACGAATAAACCAGAGGTTAATTACAATACAAATGATTGCAACAATAACAATAGTAGTAACAATTAACAATAAGAATAATGATGATGATGATGACGGTAGAATAGACTGCATGGTTGGTTAGAGAAAGAAATGTTACCGTTGAAGAGGATCTACTCTTTACCTTCTTCATTCTCTTGACAAACTCGAACTGCTGTAGCTAGGAATCTTAATTGGTACTTTAATGTGAACTTTATGTCTTTCTTCATTTCATTTCCTTCCCGCATTTAGTTAATTCTTCACAAAAGTGACAAATACATGCTTTATCCCACGTTACGTGAATATACATTCTCCTCTAAACACAACTGTACACAGCTTAATTACATCTTCCTCCCCACTCTTGTCCAATCGTCATTACAAGGATTAAATATTTTATATGCATATACAAAAATGCATATATATATATATATGTATACAAATATGTAATCCTTGTCATTCTTCACTTGTATTCATTAATATTACAACTGCTAAAAATATTAGTAATTTGTAGTGCACAATAACAAATAAACAGGTGAACAGATTGCATTTGACGTATTCTTGTTTCACTCCACACATTTTACTCACTCCTGTCTTCATACCAACATGATTGTTAATTACTGAAGGCTTTTATAACTAATTATCTCACAACCTGTATCGTAATTAATTTCGCGTGCATCAAGCAGAAAAGATTATTAAAGAAGTATTAGAATCTGCTAAGAAATATTTGCTAATTTTTTCAGCACATGATACGAAGCACGTAACATATCGAGATAATCTCTTCGCGTGCGTCTACTTCCCGCTCGATGACGTAATCCCTTGACTAAAGGATGAACTTTTGCCTTTCTGAAAGCTGAAAAGAGTTATTAGCTACTCAAATCTCATCATTCATTTTCAAGAAACAGACTGGAATGAATTCGTAAGAGATGAAAAATTTATTCAAAGTGCTCTTTAATTGATATAGAGTTTTGCAGTAGTTTCTTTTTTGGCATCATTTCAACAATTTATTTCCAATCCGCTAGCTATATGTGCAAAGTAAAAATAACCATGAACGGTATATTAGGTAAGGTCTGTCGTTTTTTGCTTTAGTTTGATTCGGAAATTAATTGTAAACTGGTACCAAAGGTTCTTTTAATGGTGAGAGCACTCATCATGGTTTTTATTTATTAAACTTTTTCTGGTCCACGTCTTGCCGTTTTTGAACTGTAATTCATTGTGTAATTCAGTTTATTGCAGTCGTATTTTGAACTGTTATGTGTACATTTTGAGTTTCTTTACCAATTTCTGTTATAATATATAGTATACTCTGAATAGTGGTAGTCAGAAATGATTGCTAAATAAGCTTGAAGAAATATATTCGTAGTTTTATCTTTGCTTCTTGGATCTTCTTCTGTTCACTCCTTGTAATCAACATTGTTGTATTTCAAGATATGTTTAGTTGCCAAACATGATCATTATACGTGAAATCTTCTGGGAATTAAGTCATCTAAATCGGCGGAGTTTTAGTCGATATGAGTAATTTTGCCACACTTTTTCTAAATTAATTCACGATTACGTTCTAGTATTTGGAGAGAATGCATATTGTATACAGATTAGAACTCATCCTTGTTTTATATGCCTATTCATTTTCAGGTATATTTTGGCGAAACCAAGACTGATGACGCTGCCAGAAGAAGTTGAAAAAACCTTACAACAGTTTTATATAGAGGTAGGTATGCTTTTATTTTTCAAAAATGAGTTTTAATCGTTGCATATCTATTGTGTACATCAGAGCAGTAATTATACTCTGACATTAGTATATTTGTCATTGCTTTTTTTAATTACATGTCTTATCAAAGCATTTCGTTTTACTCATTTTGGCATAATATTCATCTTCATTTTTGAAGCAGCTGTCTTCTCGTGCTAAATAGTGTGGTTTTTATTACTTTTTTTTCTATAATCTTATTCTTGTTCCATTTTACAATTTCAATTTCCGTTGCATTTTTACTCATGTTTCCTACTCAGTATCTCGTCTTATTCGTAATTGCAGAAAAATCTACCATTAACAACTCTTTTTTGCTTTCCATTTCAGGGTATGTACATCTTTTATTTTTCCATAACCTATGTTTTTTCCCATTACTAAAACGTCTGCAGTCAATGATACTGATGTATATGTATCATTTTCTCTTGATCAGAATGAATTTATAACATAATCCAGAGTATTTTCATTTAATCTGATGTCTTAGGCAATTCATGTTGTATTTACTTACTGTCGTCTTGGTTTTCATTTTTTTTCGCAAAACTTGTTTTCGGATGTTCTGATGCTCCATTAATAAGGCAGTTAACTATGGTGGTGTAAAACAATTTATTTCAGTTCATTTTCTTATTGTTATACTACTTTTATTTGTGAGTTGTGGAGGAAGTCATTGAGTCTGTGAGCTAATTACTGTTGGTATGATATCATTGGAGTGTTTCAAGAGTTTAGTCTTATAAGTCTAGTAAACGCTGTGAAAAATTATATGTTGAAAATGTGCTTTGTAGGATGAAGTACTTCATGATGTTAGTGATAAAATCCAAAAGGAATTCGTCCAAGGTTTGGAGTACGGGACTCCGAAATCATCAATTGCTATGCTGCCTTCTTTTGTTCCTGCTTTACCGGATGGAAACGGTTAGTAAATAACTGGGAAATATATAAATCACAAAATTTGGGTTTTTTTTTAATATTTTTTTTATTTTGATTGGCAAAAGGACTAACTTGATTGGAATAAGAGTTCAATTTTAGAGAAAGGTCAGTACATTGCAATTGACTTGAATGGCAAAAATTTGCGTATCATGCTACTAATGTTAAAGGGATGTGATCATGAACCTGAACATATTAATCACAATTATATCATTCCCAGTTCCGTTATGGTTGGAACTGGAGACCAGGTATTATTTGCAGCTCTCAGATTTCAAGTATGCTGTTATGTAAGTTTTGATGCATATCAAAGAGATTTGTAAAGCATATGTTTTAGTAGTTTTTTATGTTGCATACCTTTTGTTTCAGCTGTTTACGTTTACGGTTAACTGTTTGATGAAGTTCTTGAAAGAAGTTAATCTGCTAGATGCTTCACTTCCAGTTGGGTTTGTTTTCTGTTATCCGTGCGAGCTGCTTTCAATACGTTCAGCACGTTTGCTCTGGTGGACAAAAGGTTTTGATATAAAGGACTGTTTAAGAAAAGATGTGGTCAAACTTCTGGAAGAAGCCCTCGAATTGAACATGGTGTGTGTATTTTGCAGTGTGTTCTAATTCGTTTTGATTCAATTAGTTTTCATCCAATGATAGTTTCATGGAAGATATTTGACATACAAAAGATTGTGTGGTGAACTTATAAGACAAAAACTTCATGATTTGTTGCAGCTAACAAATGTGAAAATTAAAGCAGTAATGAATGATACTGTGGGTCAGTTAGCTGCTGCTACCTACAAGTATGGTCCAGAGTGTACAATTGGTGTCGTGATCGGTTATGGGTGATTTTTTTTTCGAATATCCTGTTTTTACACGTAAATTGGAAACGGAAAGTATTTGCTGCCAAAATAGAAACAAAAAAAAACGACTTTTCTGCCAATACAAGTATCATAAAGCTGTGCGCTGAAAAAATGAGCGTTCATGGAGAGCTTTTTAGCGATTGATTTCTGAAATCTTCTGAAAGTAAATGATGGTTTCTAGTCCTCAGTTTTAGTTGCAATGCATCGTATTTGGAAGATACAGCAAAAATTAAAAAATTCAATGCCGCTACAGCTGGATATAAATTTGACAAGATGGTGGTTGTTACCGAGTGGGAAGAGTTTGGCGAAAAGGTGATGTAAAGCACTGATTTCAGATCTTTTTCAAAACGCTGTTCAGGAATTTACTAAGCGGTTTGCTATATGAAGTTAGCTGATACCAAATATCAAGTCATTTGTTATTTGGGCGTATATTTTTAAATAGTTGATTTTGTGTTTGAAAAAAATTTTCGCGACATTTAGTAATGAGTGAAATATCTGGCAAAAAATGTTCTTTGAATTGACTGACTGTGCTTTATAGGGTGAACTAGTTGATATTTTAACACGGTTCGATCAAGAAATTGATGAGTCATCTGTCCACAAAGGCAAGCAAATGTAAGTGTTGCTCTTATTAAGCTATTATTCAGATGCAAAAATTCGGCATTTTGGGCATAATAGTAAAGGTAAAGAAATTTCACCGTATTTGTAGGATTGATAAACTAACTGGAGCACTATATCTGGGTGAATTAGCGCGTCGTATTCTAGCACAGTTTGCTTTGGATGGGCTTTTATTCAGTGGAAAACCTTGTGAAAAACTAGAAGAAGTTGATTCTTTTCCGACTAAATACATTTCTGAAATCTTAAGGTATTTCTTTTGTTATTGCATAAATGTTTTTTACTTTATGTAATATCTTTAGTTTGTCAGACTTTTGAATCTGAAAATCCATTATGTCGGAGTATTAGTTAGTATACTTGCAGTGTTTCGTCACGCTGGAGGGAAAGTGTTTAGTGTTATCGCTGTATAATGATTTATCTAAGTCACATGAAAATATGAATGTATGAGTACTTTGTATGCTAATAGATTTTCAGTAATGAAGAAGGAAATTTCAAAGTTTGTCGGCGGATATGCGATGAGCTTGACGCACCAAGTCACTGCACTACTGATTATGAAATTATCTATGAAGTTTGTCACGCTGTATCGCAGAGATCTGCTGCCGTTGTTGCTGCTGGTTCGATATCTTTTGTTTACGTCTAGTCAGATGAAATTAGTTTTTTTTTCTTATATATCTCTTGTTGAGCAGTTGCAGAGCAGTGATTTAGGTCAACTCTGGTTCAGCAAAAATCTGAGAAATAGATTTGTAATGTCAAAAAACAAAAAGCACTATTTTTTTAAAGAGAACATATCATGCAGAACTTATACCTTCTAGCACATTTTCAGCAATAGCAGCTTTATTGCGTCATCTTAATCAAAGTCCTATAAAAATAGGAGTGGGCGGTGCCTTAGTTCAATTTCATCCTACTTACCTGTCATTGTTAGAAAAGAAATTGCACGAGTTGGCTCCTTTAAACATTCAGGTACCTGTTCAGTTTCGTGTTAGTCCCGTTTTTTGATCAAAACGATAAGGATAAAAAGTATGACACTATTGTTTATGAAAAGTTGCTATTATTTAAGAGCATCAAATTTTTTGTATTGTTTGTTTTTGCATATCCATAATTTACTTACTGTTGTAGTGGCAGTTGGTACCAGCCGATGAAGGCGGTGCCAAAGGTGCTGCAATGATTGCCGCAGTAACTGAAAAGATGGCACTGTGAAAGCTAGATGCAAAATAATGCCGGAATGTAAAAAAAACTATTCGAAATAATATTGAAGTATACGCTTTTAAAGCATCGTATTGTTTTATTTTTACATTCATCTTTTCAAGTTTCATGGCAGTAGGCTTCAAGTTTTATAGTTTTCAGTATGTTGTTATTTTATTGTTAATTGTGAATCAGGAAATTGATTTACCAACTAATGTTACTACACAAAAGTTCATTCATTAAAGTAAGTTTTATAAGTAATAAGTTGTTAGTTTCTGAAGTTTTTTCAGTTATAAGATATACTACCATTACTGCTGATTAAACTTGCTTTCTTGTTTTTTCTGACCTTTCATGAATGTTTGATTTGATGACGTAATAACTCGGATATATTCATTAACCACCTTTCTTTCAAAATTGTTCTACCACATTTGTAAGCAGTAGTTTTGGGTACTGTTTTCTTGTTTATTTTAGGTTTGGTAGTCCATCTGCTTTGAGTATCTACAGTTTTTTAGATCTGATGATATTGTTACCGTGTTATAAATCTTGTCTTTAAGGCGTTACCCATTCTTCATTGCTATAGTTATTTCTCAGAAACAAAAGTCAGCTTGCATGGTAACATATCTTAGTTTTCCTTTTTTGAGAAAGGTTGGATGAGTATAAGTATTTGTGTTCGTTTGTGTTACAATATAAGTATCTATGTTTTCTTCATTGCTACATTTATATTCTATCTAATACTAGGGAAAAGTATGTGATGAAGTGCTAACTAAAATTTGCATTCATTCTTGTCTCAGCTTTTTAAATTTTGAAATCATGATCAGTTTTCTTCAGAATCACTATCTCTGTACTTTTTGTTATTGAGTTGTGGAAAGTAAATAATATGAACTAATTGAAGGGAATTTTCGCTTCCTGTGTTTCATTTGTTCTAAATGTTTGAAATGGTTAATAGAAGATGGAAACGGATTGGTAAGAAAGCACAAAATAAATGGGTAGCATTAAATGTTTATGCAGTATTTTATGTGAATTATTTCTGTTTAATTGTAAATTTGTCTCGTGCTGTGAAGGTAAATAGTGTGAAATCCTAAAACTAAAGATTTTATTCTCAAGATGTGTAACAAGCATTACAAATCTTGCCTAAGGCAGCAATTGCACTGAAATATTTCAAGTCTTCTTTGTTATTAATCCAAGCAAATAATTCTCGATTGCAGTTATGACTCATGACTAATAAAAGGGTTCTTCCTTGCTTCCTTACGGTACTGCCGTTACTTTTCGTAAAACGGTCAGAGGACGGTCTCAAATTAGTATATAAGTTATTGCTTAGATTGGCTACTCCAGTACTGCAACTCTGTAGGTGAAGGAAGTCGGACTGCCTCCTTTAATGAGATAAATACTGAGTGAAAATCACACTTCAGCATAAGTGAAACAGCAGATTGTGACCACATGTTTGTAGTATTTAAAGATAAATTATTTCTGCTATATTAACTAATCGGTCGAGTGTGGGCTTCTATATTCAAATTTTGCGAAAAGTCATTGAACAGTAGTGTACTAGACTCATTTCTCTTTACTTATTTTCTTTAAGTTAGTAATATTTTGAATAGTGTAAGGATACCATTATCATGGGTAGAGTGTGGTTTAAACTGAAGAAATTAATAAAGATATGAGGAATATTGGTTAAGAAACGAAGTAAAAATGGAACGCTTATTGGAAGATCGGTCTTGTGATCGTGAATTGTTACAAATAATTGTTGAACTTTCTAGAAAGATGTCATTATCTGATCTTGCAGTGATCCATCATCAGTCGTCAGCTGCTGTGATTAGGGAACTAAGAATGTAAGGAAGAATGAACAAATCATTCTTAGGAGTTAAACTCAGACTTTCTTTATAAATTATTGGAGTTTTTGCATGGAGTATGCATAAATAATGAGATCAATGCCAGTTTATGAGTGAAAGCCGGCAGTAAACGATTTTGGAAATTGAGCAACAAAGTGTTATTTGATTGCACAATTCCAACGTTTTCGATCAAAATCGTCATCTTATTGCTTCAGTGACAACCAAAGAACTAACTGATGAGTGGTAGCATGAAGTGATTTAAGTTTTGTGATGAGACAGAAAAGAATCTTGTCAAAATTTAATAAATTTCTGTTTAAAATAGCAACTCTCTACAAAGCAGGCTAAATTTGTTTAGTAATCTTATTTTAAAAACATAAAATTTTCATTATGCTGAAGTAAATACTGCTTACTTTCTACTTCCGAATGAGATTTGATATCCATTTTGAAGTGCTCCAAAGCATCAGTAAAAACGGTTTCTAACATAAATAGCAATATATAAGATTCTGATTTAATCCATGCCAAGCAGTCAAGGTGGTTTAAAAGCTCTAATCAAATGTTCAAGCCTAGATTACATCCGTCGCTTTCTTGACTGCCACTTATAACTCAAATCTATCAATGGCTGTTAAAAATAAAGGTCATGTATAAAGATGACGATGACCAAGTTGCTATAATGAATGAATTATCTAACACGTTCTGATTCTCAATTTGTTATCGAATACTGATGCATTGTCATGATCTCATAATAAAGATTTCAAAGAGAAGTTTGAAAGCAAGGAAATATTTTTAATGAATAAGATGAACGTTTAGTAATGATGAAAATGCGTTTAAATATGTAGATGATCATATGGCTGATTATATTTGCTGAATAATGTTGTTTAATAAATTAGCTGCAAAGAAGTTTCTCGTTAGTATCTTCACACTTTCAAGTATGATGCTAATCAACAACTTCCCTCGCTTCCTTTCAGTCAACATTAATTCCTTTTTGTCTGCTCTGTTATTCAATTAGGCAATAAACTTCTTTGCCTCAGATCATTACTTGACGCTTTGAACGTACTCATTTCTGCTCCATTTCATTTATTTTGTTACACTTTTGCAACTTTTGTTTGTGTTTGTTGTCACAAGATGTTCTGGCAACAAATGTTCTTCTTCACTTTCCGCTTCTGCCATCCAAAAATGGGATGGCATAGGAGAAATGGCATATTAACAGAAAGCAATCTGGATTTCTACTGCTACCTTGAAAATTTTCATCTATCTGCTTCGTCCTTTGTTGGCTCATTATATATTCATTTGAGAAATTACTCAGCATTTTGTTTTGATTGGTAATTTGTTAAAATCTCATGAGCAGTACTCTTAACTGATTTCGAAATTAATTGTGAACTGGCTAGTAGTAGCTATTAAATGCTGAGGCGAGATATAAGCTTGGAATACATACAAGGTAGAACGACATATCTTTGGTTTAAATGAAATAGGATACTGAAGTAGAGTTCACTAATACTAAAATGAAATCGGGTACACTAATATTCTTGATTATTATCAACTTTGCACACTACAACTTTATCCGCATATAAAGGGACCCAATTAGAAGCTACATCAGCAATAATATGAATTTATTACCAATATAAAGAGATATAGTTATTAGTCTAAGTTCTGATCATATATCATCCACATTTTCATCCATTCCAGTTGGGTTTTGCATAAAACTTAATATATCTCTTTATATTGGATGAAACTGTAGGCTATTTTCTTCATTGTAATGACAACAAAATAGCAGAAAAAATTTGCTTCTGCAAAGGAGAGAAGAATATATTAAGAGAAGGTGCTGTTATCAAAAAAATGAAAATCTTCCCATCTACTGATTGTAGCTAAACTACATCAAATCTTTAAACTAAATTATAGTTTGATGTGATTTTGAAGTTACAAATGGATTCATACTATATGAGTACATAATAATGAATTTTCGATTTTACTGATTTTTGACTTTTGTTCGTTCGTATCTTTTGCAGTTAAAATTGCATTTTGGAATCAAGCATGTTCATTAACCTGTTAAATTCTTTCCCATCGTCGAATTGTATTTCAGTTGCTCGAATGTTTTAGTCTTGGAGGAATCCGGAGATATTGGCGCATTCATTCCGTTATTCCTCTATGAGTTTTTATATCTTTTTTTCCATCCATCATCTAAAATTCTTCTTGTTTGTTCCTAACTGCTCTCACTTTTTTTTCAAAATTCAACAGTATCCTTTATGCTATACATATTTTATTTTATGATTGTACTTGTAAATGGCTTAACCAATGGTTTTCATGTAGCATCTCTAGCCATTCTGGTTTGCCGTTTTGCATTTACGTATTTGAACTACGATTTCAATCAGTTCTCGTTCTTTCATAAAATCTATTTCTTCCACAGTTCCTTCAGGAGAGACTAACGGTTGATTTCTGTAATAACTGAACATTAACTTTTCAGATCTCAGCATCTTTTTTTATCTCTTCCTGAAACATACTTTAATGACACAAGACAGTCACTTTATGACCATAGAAAATAAATATTTTACCAAGCAAGTAACTTCAACTTTAACTGATTCTTCGGATTTTCGACTGATATATCTCCTGGTCTGTCCTTCTTGCTTTTGAAATGACCTTGTTATTCTGATATCGAATCGCTTCTTACTATCTGAATCTTTTTTCTTTGATGATTGGAAAGTTTTTCTTTCCTCTTATCAAAAAACGGATTATCCCTTTATATCTTTTTAAAATAATCACCGATCACCAATGATCTCATTAAATGTTATCTCAGGAAGTCATCGTAGTTTGTTCGACTTGTTTTGTTTTGCTGAAATTAGCAAAAACTTCTTCTACCTTTTCTTCAAGCGTGTCAAATTTAATGATAACTTCTGCTTTTGTGAATAAATACGTCACTGCTTGTTCTTCGTCAGAAGTGGATGAAGATTCTTCCTCGCTTTGCTGTTGCTTAAAGACGGCTTTAATTCATTCATCCACTGTTTTGTTTTATACTATTCTTACGATTTTCGATCCCTTTCGTTTCTCTGTCTCTCTTTGCTAATTCTATTTCAACAAATGTTTATTAATTGAATTTCAATAATACCTATCTAGCACAGTCAAACCAGCTTCTTTCCTCTTTCTGTAAATTATTTTTTTGGTGCTCATCACCCTAAATTTCTCGACAACTCACTTCAA